AATGTCTAGGTATAGCTTCCGGAATGGAGCCGTGTCTTGAATCAGCGATATGCCGACGTTTCGCAAACGTTACAGTTTGCATCATCAGGGTTGAGAACTCTGATACTGACAGTATCAGAGTTCTCAACCCTGATGATGCAAACTGCATATCGCTGATTCAAGACACGGCTCCATTCCGGAAACTATATCTAGACATTGTATCAATGGCCGTGAAAGCCTCAAATCTAGTATTAAAAGTAAATAAAAATTAACACACAAAATAAAGTTTAAATTAACACATACATAGATAATTACAAAGTTAATTTTTTTATTTCCTTTTCTTTGTAGGAGCATAATCCGTACACTGCCATGTGCTTCTTATGGAACTACAAGAACGACAAACAGCATAAAGTTTCACGACAGGTAAATATGTAATTTTATATTACTTTTTATATTCTATGATCCAAGAAATCTTGCAGCAAGTGCATTAAAGTGCATACGGCAGCTGGAAGGTATTTAAAATTCGGGAAGTATTGATTTTTAGGTGAGAATAGAAGGACCGATGAAAAGACTAGAAAAACCGGCTTATGAATATATGTACGACAAGGAACCATTGTACTGCAAAATCCGATCTTACCTGTGTCATCAAGACCAGCCAGCCGACTGGGACGATTTGAATCGTCGGTACAATGAAATATTAGCTGAAGCAAAGAACGGAGAAAATTTGTCGATGCCAGATCACTAGTAAGTCTACTATTTTTTAATTTAAATAGTTTACAGTTAGCGAAACGTAAACGCTGCTTATCATAAAAAATAATGTATTATAAATAAAGATGTATCATAAGTAGTACTGATCTTACAAATCGGATATAATACATCTTTTAGAAGCAAAAGAGAAATTAGAAATTTCAGGACTATTTGCTCGCTTGTCGGTAATATCTTGTTACTTTATTTTATTTACTTTAAGTGTAATTCCTCATATTTATAAGGACTCTTACAGAACAATATTAAAACGTCGAAATACAATTTCGAAAGGGACTAAAAAGCCAAGATGTTAAGCGCTACTTCATATTATACATAATAAATTACAAAATCAGACGTTTTGACCATGGGATGTGGTCCTTTTCAGTTGATAATTGTCACAAATCGTCAATGCGAAAGTTCAACCGGTTTTAATCACACGCTGTGTGGATATGGTCGAAATGTCAAAATTCAAATGTATTTCATCATGGCATTTCGGCCACATGTTCGACACAGCGTGTGACTAACATCAATTGACCTTTCGCATTGACGATTTGTGACAATTATCAATTGAAAAAAACCAAGGTGCAGGTGTTAAGCGCTATTTTATTGTACATAATAAATTACAAAATCAGACTTTTCGGCCATGGGATGTGGTTCTTTCCAGTTGATAATTGTCACAAATCGTCAATGCGAAAGGTCAATTGGTTTTAGTCACATGCTGTGTCGAATATATGGCCGAAATGCCATGGTGAAATGCATTTGAATTTTGACATTTCGACCATATCCACACAGCGTGTGATTAAAACCGGTTGACCTTTCGCATCGACGATTTGTGACAATTATGAAAAGGACCACATCCCATGGTCGAAACGTCTGATTTTGTAATTTATTATGTATAATATGAAGTAGCGCTTAACCTTGGCTCTTAGTCCCTTTCAAAATTGTATTTTGTAAAATTATAGAGCTGTACATAAGCTTCTTATATATAACGGTAAAATTTCAAATGTTACATTTTCCAGCAGATTCCGCGTATCTAATTAACAAACAAAAACAAAATTATTTTAAAAAAAGAAACACAGTAGGAAACAACAAAGCGTTGCATTTTGACGAATACGATGGAATCTACTTAGAAATATATAGAAAAAGTTAACGAAAAATTTAGTATCATTTATCAATTAATATTATTTACGTTTTCAGCGTCGCTTACAAATTGGCACCCGAGATGATGGAATTTTTTTATGCGTGGGACGAGTTAATCGCCGATCGAATACGTTTCGAGAAGAATAAATTAACTGGACGTTGGGAACATCAGAGAATAGCAGCGTAATTTTGTATAAAGTCTCATCGTCATGATGTCGATTTTGTCGTCTTCCTCTTGGATTTTCGGATATTTAAAATGATCGAAAAACTTGTAATACTTTAAAAGTTGTTATATAACCACATTGCATAATAAGGTATTACGTGTTTTTTCCCTAAATATTTTAAGAAATTCTATTCCCATAATTCCAGAATCCAAAGTCTTGATCTCTAAATCCGAATTCTAAAATGAGATCTCTCGAAATACAATTTTTCCAAATATTAGAAATTACCCAGGGCCCAACAAACTTCACTACAAGGCTTTCATACTTCAAAGCCATTCTTCGTTTTAAAAATCTCTTCCTCTGTCCTAAATGAGTCCCTGTACTCAGTCAATACTCTTCTCTTTGTATCTCAACGCAACATTTGTTCAGCTTTAAACTCGTGCATCACTTTCACGGATTAATGAATGAAGTTCCTTCTAAATTAAATTAAATGTCAATTAAAGTGATAGATACCCTAACTCTAATCCCAATAACCGACTAATTCAAGCTATTCAACGGAGTTAGCGAAGTCCTTAAAGAGAATTTGCACTGTCCACACTTTGATTGAAGAGGATTCACGTAAGGAATCCGTAATAGAAGGGAATATCCGCTATTTAAAGCATTGCAACGTATGATATCGAGACGCAAGAACATGTATGCCTGCCATCTTATCATCTTATCATCATATGTCTTTTTAATAAAAAATCCAACTTCCTTTTTCACGTATGAGATATTTCAAGACGATGAATTCCGAGTGGAACCGATGGAAACTGAGATATCGACTCAAGCTGTGCGCGTCGGTCAATAAACTTCCCGCCAACGTCGCTCGTGGCCGACTTCCTAATGCTCCAAGCGACAAGACCAATGACAGTGCCGGGATTGAAGGTCACGTGGCCAGCTAATGCCCTCAGTGCGACTACGCGGGAACGTAGCTCGCCAATTGGTTGTGGACGAACGTTTACTCGTTTCCACGGCGCAAGTATCGCCCGGCTGGAGCCGATGAGACGCTCAATCCGTAAAAACGTGCTTGAGTGCGCGACGTAGCGCAGTGGGTCAGCCGGCATTGATTCGGCAGCACATGTGAAAGATATCGCGAACGATGCCCGTTCACGTGTCCACCAGGCCCGATGGCAGAATCGACTGTTACCTTCTTTTGGAAGACGGCAGTTTTTATCCAGGAAAACGTTTCGGTGCCAACGTACCCGTCGACGGTGAAATTGGTGAGTTACATGAGTATCGAGCACATGTGCTGCTTGGAGGTGCACGCGTCCATGTGCGCACTCGCTTTGGGTCCGACCGTTGTATATTGGCAGCGTGTATTACGCGCGCTCTTTTATATGACGGTCCACGTGCTGTTACTCATTCATTTGATAAGAGCCTTATCGATTTCGTAGCAGTCTGTAACAAGCAATGGTATCATCGTATACTTGCATAGACCACACGCAATCAGGAAGTGCGGCGAGTCTTCGCATATTTCAAATGTATTTGCATACGATAACATGTGTACGCGAATAGCGTTCGTATTCTTGGGTCCGTATTCTAAGTATCTCTTTAACGATAAATGAGCCTTTAAAAGTAACTCATAGCCAATCAGAAGGCTTACAAGTCATTATAACGTTTTAGAGGCTATTTAATATAGTTGAAAGAGTATTTAGAATACTGGCCTTCATATGTAATATGTTAAAGAAAAATTCTCTCGAGGCGACATCGTAACTTGGAAAGCGTCCCAGATAGCACAAAATCTTCAGAGAATGTTTTGGGACGTTCTTAGAATGTATGTCCTTAGAACATCCTTAGAACGTTCTTTGAAGTTTTGTGCTGTATGGGGTGTGTCATATCGTCCATTTTCCAGTGAAATTGCTAATTTGCACGCGGAAAAATAGATATTTGATCAAGGCGCGTCTTATCGTGCTATAAAATCTATATAGATACGATGAAACCAATATATTAATTTACAGAGTGATACAAGACGCTTTTCTGAGTCAATAATCTGCTAAACTCGCATTTAAATTGGACTCTCATACACGCACATATGCGGACGAATGTTAGTTTATTTTTGTTTATATGCTTATTCTCAAACAGTATAAAAATTCAAAGAATGCACTAGAAACGTACAAAAGATATTTTAACTTATCTTGAACTTATTTGAAGAGAGATAAGTAATAGACCCTATCTGGGTTCTTGTTTATTTTTATTCACGATAGTTTGTTATGATAGTTATGATAGTTTGTTCACGATAGATAGATGTTTCGAAAGTTAACAATAGCAATTAGAGGTAACCGACATGCGCGCGCGCACTGCGGTAATTTTGAATAAATTAAATTAAAAAATAATAACTTAAATAAAATTAAATTTAAATTTAAAAATAAATAACAGATACTAATAGAAAATTACAAAAAGATTCGAATAATTTTATGCCGTTATTGCTGCAAAATTACCTCGAAATTCTCAACTTAAATGTCACAATACTTCAACTGCCTTTCTTATTTGCATTCGTTTCTGCTTAGAAGCCGGTTTACGATAAGCCACGTAGGTGATTACGTTGCACATATAATATGTAGTGATACTGTTAGATATACACCGCCGTGAAACATGCTGAAGTTAAAAAGTTACAAGATACGTATTCAGTTACGCTTTTATGTAAGAGAAATCTTTTCATGTGAGCATAATATACTCGATTCTATTGTCGTACATTGTCTAACGAGATATCTGAAACCATTTTTATGTAGTAGAAACAGTCCGCGCGAGCTCGCTGATATAAAGTTGCATATATGACGAATTGTACCTCGCGGTCTCTGAGCGTTTTGATCGACAGACACGATGCATGAATACCTAGACGAGCGTCCGATGGATACTCAGTTACAGAACAAAGGTCTTTTGATGCTGAGTGGCGTATTGTATTCGGCGGAAAGTTTTCAAGCGCGAGTCAGCGATACGCACGGCGATGTGCGAAAATTAACATTATATAGAACTGTAGAATAAATTTTCTTCCAAAAAAAAAGATATAAAATTGAGACATTCGGAATAAGAAATTGAATAGCCAAGCAATCAAGTCGAATGATAGTCTGAAAATAATAATAGCTCGCATGGTCTATTTCGAATATGACACTATGACATTATAATAACGTCATTTGTTGTAACGTCATTATATGTTATAATACACAATTATGTAATTAATAAGATATTATATTTGATAAAGATTTTATCTATTGTTAACTTCACTTTTACTTAATTAATCTTCACTAACGATATCTCATTTAGTTTAGATTGTATCTTCTCGAAAAACAACAAAGCATTAAAATATCGATTTGGTGATATCAACTGATAGGTATCGTTTATTACGCATTAGATAGAAATGTTTGTACGCGATAGCTGTTTTTAATAAGTAAAAATGTAAGTTACAAAATCAATCGAAAGTCAAAGTTCACGAGATAATGTATTTATGTAAAAATAAAATTATGGTCAATAACATATTAGTGTGATAGCTTTGCACGCGTAAATAACAATGAATATTTTTTTTCTAGTTTTCCAGACTGGTCTGATCGGTTATCCGGAATCACTCACGGACCCTTCTTATCACGCCCAAATTTTAGTGCTTACTTATCCACTCATAGGAAATTATGGTATCTTTGGTGACGATAAGGACGAATATGGTATACCATAGTAAGTGATCGCAACAAGATTGAACTCGGAGTCAATTAAAGAGGATTTACGCAGTAACAATATTAATATCTCGTATGTGAAACGAACGATTCAGCGTAGTCGTACAATATTCGCTTTCTCTGACACATACACTGAGAGAAAAATTATATTAAAATCAACAAATATTTATTTGATGTGTGCCATTAACATATTTATTTAAATCTACGTTCTCTTCATTTAAATCAAATATTGCTTACCTGATTTAAATAATCAATATTTGGTTTAAATAAAGAAAATGTAGATTTAAGTAAATATGTTAATGGCACCCATCAAAGAAATATTTGTTGATTTTAATATAATTTTTCTCTCAATGTAGACACGTTTTAAAAACATTTTGACTATTACAAAATTGCAAGTCCAATTTTGAAGAGAAAGGAAAAACTAATAAAGAAGAACAATAATAAGGCAGAAATAATACGTGAGGGTTTAATGTTGTACAATAAAAAAATATTTACATGAGATAATTTAGAGCAACCATCCACTGTAATTCTCTCGAGAAATAGAAATAAAGTTACAAGATGAAAATTGTATATATTAGATCGAATCAATCAGATTCAGCTGTTTGTTTCAAGAATGTTTTCAGAATTCTTTGACCTTCAATTGAGAAGTTCTGAAAAGAACTAATGCCAATTTCTCCTCCATTATAAACGTAGAATTGACACTGACTCTATTACTTGCACTTATCTCGTAAATATTAATTTTGACGCAGTTGGTTCGAATCTCATCGCATTTGGGCTGCTGGACTCGTGGTCGGGGAAGTTTGCGAGAAGCCGAGTCATTGGCGATATATCAAAACCTTATCTCAATGGATGACAGAACAAAATGTACCCGGAATATATGAAGTTGACACACGAGCACTAACAAAAGTTATTCGTGAAAAGGGCACAATTTTGGGCAAGATAATATTCGATCAGCCACCGCAAAATAGTATTCGATCACTTGGCACTTCGATGACAAGTCTATGTATAGAAGATCCCAATAACAGGAATCTGGTGGCAGAAGTTTCCCAGGTAAAATCTACACACATTCTATGAAGAAATATTCCGTAGGAACATTTTATTTTTATTAGCAAACGTGTCGACGTATTTGAATTTAATTTAATACTATTAAACCTTTCATACTAAAAGTGAATAAAATAATAGAATATTATCGTGAAACGTGAGCATATTTTAAAGCTATGGAGGTGTCAGAAATATAAAGAGGCATTATTTAGTAGTATTATTTAGTATTTAGTAGTTTGGATTAATATTTAGTAATAGTTTAATGGAGACTCCATAAAAAAAATCGATATCACCTTTCAACGTGTCCTACTATCTCATAATCATACTATTTTTCAGCCGGTACCAAAAACGTACAATCCGAGCGGACACCCTCGCATATGCGTAGTGGATTGTGGATTGAAGTATAACCAGTTGAGGTGCCTGTTAAGACGTGGTGCTCGCGTAGACATCGTACCTTGGAACCACGACTTGAGAATCGCCGAATACGACGGTCTGTTTCTCAGCAACGGTCCAGGTGATCCCAATATGTGCCGCGAGACCATAAGGAATATCCAGGCGTTTTTCCAAGAAGAAAAGAAAAAAGAGGGAAAGAGAAGACCCATCTTTGGCATATGCCTTGGGCATCAGTTGTTATCTTTGGCCGCTGGATGTGTTACATATAAAATGAAGTACGTATTACGATAGAATAATTTTTATCACGTTGCATGATAGTTATAGATATGATAAATTCGACTAGCTAAAAGCAGACTCGAGGAACCAATTATCGGAGCAACACGTGCCCGAACACATTTCCCATTCCGGAAGTTTCAATCCTGAATCACTTCCTTCCTCTAGCGTTGCTCGACAAAATTACTGTTCCTTCATCAGCGCAATTCCTCCTGTCCCGCGGTACAAAGTAACAACTGTCTGTCATTACAAACGACGCCTGTCACTCGTTTACAGCTACGGCAATCGAGGCCACAATCAACCGGCGACCCATCATGGTACCAAACGTTGCTTCATGACCTCGCAGAATCACGGATTCTGCGTCGACGCGTTTCGACTGCCGACCGATTGGGAGGTACTCTTCACCAACACCAATGACAACAGTAATGAAGGTGTGACTCACACATACCTGCCGTACTTCTCCGTTCAATTTCACCCGGAACACACAGCGGGTCCTGAAGATTTAGAATGTCTCTTCGACGTGTTTCTGGAGAGTGTGAAGGACGAGATCAACGGTTGCCCGCGGATCTCAATAAAGGACAGAATCATTCAGAAACTGACCTACCAACCTGCGGTGCCGGTGGCGGTTAATCGCCCAAAGAAAGTACTGATTTTGGGCTCAGGTGGACTGAGCATCGGTCAGGCCGGAGAATTCGACTACTCAGGCTCGCAGGCGATAAAAGCTCTGAAGGAAGAATCGATACAGACTCTATTAATTAATCCCAATATCGCCACGGTGCAGACTTCGAAAGGCATGGCTGATAAGGTGTACTTCTTGCCGATCACGCCGAAATACGTCGAGCAGGTGAGCTGGAACGCGTCTACAATTCATCTGTTAAATTTTTTATCGACAGTTGCTGCCTTAATAATAAATCATTTGAACACTCAACGTGAAAATATCCTTCTCCAATTAATCTGTTTTAGGTAATACGATCGGAGAGGCCGGACGGAGTGCTATTGACATTCGGTGGACAAACCGCTCTCAATTGCGGCGTGGAACTTGAGAAGAATGGAGTGTTTGCGAAATACAATATTAAAATCTTAGGAACACCGATCGAGTCTATCATACAAACCGAGGACAGAAAAATGTTCGCAGATCGCATTGGCGAAATAAATGAAAGAGTTGCACCGAGTGCTGCTGTGTATTCTATTCAAGAGGTAAATAGTTTCTTTTCACGAATTCTTACACGGAGAAAAATAATTTTGCTCTTTTAGTAAAATCGCGTTGCTACTACACATTTGTAGTGCATCAAAAAAATTTAGTTGACGTAACTAATTTTACTAATTTTACAAATTATTCGTTATTAGAGCAGAAGTATTTTTGTTGCCAGGATAGAAAAAATTTGTTGAGTGTATTTGTTCTAAGAATCACGTTAATTTGCTATTGATGCAAAATAATGTACCCTATAGCAAATTTATTTGCTATCGGAACAAAACTGCAACTGCTTATATAAATCCATCATAGTTCTTATAGCAAAATAATTTATAGATTCAACAAATTATATCCAGCAAATGATTAGTACTCTTAGCAAATCTTTTTGCTGTCCATATAATAACGAAAAGATTTTGCTAAACCAGCAGAAAATTTGCTGGGCCAGCAAATTATTTTTCTCTGTGTATAAATTAGAATATTTTCCTTAACGTCTTACTTATAAAATTGTCGTAAGCTTATTGTTTGTAACCAATGTTATACTAATGAATATAAAATTCTCATTTAGTAAAACCTTTCATGGAAAATTAATAATAAACTAATTACTGTAATTACTGATTATTGTGATTACTATAATATGATTACACGGAGAAAAATAATTTGCTGGCCCAAATTTGTTAGCAAATTTTCTGCTAGTCTAGCAAAATCTTTTCGGTATTATATGGGTAGCAAAAAGATTTGCTAAAAGTATTAATCACTATTTGCTAGATATAATTTACTGAATCTACAAATTATTTTGCTGTAAGAACCATGATGGATTTATATAAGCAGTTGCAGTTTTGTTCCAATAGCAAATAAATTTGCTAAGGATACATTATTTTACATCGATAGCAAATTAACGTGATTCTTAGGACAAATACACTCAACAAATTTTTTTTATCCTAGCAACAAAACTACTTCTGCTCTGATAACAAATAATTTGTAAAATTAGTTACATCAATTAAATTTTTTTGCTGTCACTACAAATATGCAATAGCAACGACGATTTTGCTAAAAGAGCAAAATTATTTTTCTGCGTGTAAGATTATGATCTTACGGTAATTTTTAAAAATTCATGCTATCAGAATTTCATTCCTTCTCGAACAGGCATTAGATGCTGCAGAACAATTGGGCTATCCTGTTATGGCACGTGCTGCGTTTTCACTCGGCGGTCTTGGATCCGGATTTGCGAATACGAAGGACGAACTCAGAATATTGGCCCAGCAAGCTTTGGCTCATTCCAGCCAATTGATAATCGACAAATCTCTGAAAGGTTGGAAAGAAGTCGAGTACGAAGTTGTTCGGGATGCGTATGACAACTGCATTACGGTGTGTAACATGGAGAACGTCGATCCTCTCGGTATCCACACCGGTGAATCAATCGTTGTAGCACCGAGTCAAACACTATCGAATAAGGAGTACAACATGCTGCGAACTACCGCCATAAACGTCATCAGACATTTCGGCATTGTCGGAGAGTGCAATATTCAGTATGCTCTGAACCCCTCTTCCGAGGAGTACTACATTATTGAAGTGAACGCCAGATTGTCCAGAAGTTCAGCTTTAGCCAGCAAAGCTACCGGGTATCCTTTGGCTTACGTAGCCGCTAAATTGGCTCTAGGAATACGTCTTCCGGACATTCGGAACTCCGTCACTGGAGATACAACGGCTTGCTTTGAGCCCAGTCTCGATTATTGCGTGGTCAAAATACCAAGATGGGATCTCAGCAAATTTCATCGTGTCTGCACCAAAGTATAAACCAACTCTCAATGTAACTCAAGGTGATAGTTCATTTGACTTGTTTATTTAATATTGCTGCGCCTTACAGATCGGCAGTTCCATGAAGAGCGTGGGCGAAGTGATGGCGATCGGCCGTAAATTCGAGGAGGCTTTCCAGAAGGCATTGAGAATGGTTGACGAGAACGTGAACGGCTTCGATCCTTACGTGAAGCCGGTCAACGACGAGGAGTTGGAGAAGCCGACCGACAAGAGAATGTTCGTCCTCGCCGCTTCGATCAAGGCCGGTTACACGGTCGATCGGCTGTACGAGCTCACCAAGATCGATCGTTGGTTCCTCGAGAAGATGAAGAACATCATTGACTATTACACGATCCTAGAGAACACCGACCACACGAAACTCATGCACGACGTGTTGCTGGGCGCGAAGAAAATCGGCTTCTCGGATAAACAGATCGCTGCTGTAGTGAAGAGTTCAGAATTGGCAGTTAGATTGCAGAGACAAGAACACCGCATACTACCTATGGTCAAGCAGATTGATACGGTTGCTGCTGAATGGCCAGCCACTACAAATTATCTCTATCTGACATACAGTGGCACTACTGACGATGTGGAATTTCCTGGAGGATATACGATGGTGATAGGTAAATGTTACTCCCTACATATATCTCTCTTTGTCGTCGTGTCTCTGTTATTAGCCATTCACTCTATTGTCGGAGATAGAATCTCCTTGACAAGAAAACACAGGTATATGAGGAATAAAGATAAGTTTAAATAAAATAAAAATTATGATGCGTTAATGCTTAAAATTGAACTCTTGATAACGATCCTCACTGATACGAATAGTCTCATCAATGTCATTGTATTGTAGCTACTCATATTAAGAAATATACTAGCCAATTAATGATCAATTAATCTAGAAGGCACAAGATCTCCAGAGAATATCCTAGAGACATTCTCAAAAGTGTCCTTAGAATGTCCTGTGGAGATCTGTGCTGTTTGGGTAATGGCTAATCAATTAAGTAGAAATTCTATTTGGTAAATGCCGGGTGATAATGTCACGTGGAAAAACATAAGTAAACGAGTACATTAAGAAAGAATAAAATGAAGTATCTTAACATACCTCTATTAAAAATGAGCGATATCTCTTTCAGGTTCCGGGGTATACAGAATCGGCAGCTCGGTGGAGTTCGACTGGTGTGCCGTGAGTTGTTTGCGCGAACTGCGAAATCTTGGGCGCAAAACCATCATGGTGAATTACAATCCGGAAACTGTTAGTACCGACTACGACATGAGCGACCGATTGTACTTCGAGGAGATCTCCTTCGAGGTGGTGATGGATATATACGATCGTGAGTGCCCTGAAGGTATTATTCTGTCTATGGGCGGACAGCTACCTAACAATATTGCCATGGATCTACATAGACAGCAAGCACGAATCCTCGGAACCTCGCCGGAATCAGTCGACGGCGCCGAGAATCGCTTCAAGTTCTCCCGTATGCTCGACGGCATCGGTATATCGCAACCGAGGTGCGATTCAGTACACAAATTCGAGAAGTTTCGCGCGATTTTTCGCATACAATTTGCAACTGTTTCTTTTCGTTTCAGATGGAAAGAATTAACGAACTTGAAGTCCGCCATTGAATTTTGCGAGACAGTCGGCTATCCGTGCCTTGTTCGCCCTTCGTACGTACTGAGCGGAGCTGCGATGAATGTCGCCCATTCGCATCAGGATCTCGAGTCTTATTTGAAAAGCGCCAGCGAAGTCAACAAGGAACATCCAGTCGTGATATCAAAATTCATTCTCGAAGCAAAGGAGATCGATGTTGATGCTATAGCTTACGAAGGGATCATTTTATGTATGGCAGTCTCCGAACATGTAGAAAACGCTGGAGTTCATTCAGGTGACGCTACATTGGTAACACCACCACAGGATATTAATCCAGAGACTCTGATGAAGATAAAGAGCATTTCCAAAGCAGTAGCTGCGTCCTTGGGAGTTACCGGTCCCTTCAACATGCAGTTGATCGCAAAGGTAGGTTTTGTACACTTCGTTTTAGGAATGTTAAAAGAAGATAACAATCAAAAAGAGCTAATCTCTGAGTAAAACTTTAATTAATGGCTAGGATTTTTATCACCTAAAAAGAAAAGAAATCGATGATAGAATATATATTGTTTCATTCAGGATAACGAGTTGAAGGTGATCGAATGTAACGTCAGAGTATCAAGATCTTTCCCTTTTGTCTCGAAAACTTTGGATCACGATTTCGTCGCAATGGCAACTCGAATTATCATTGGGGAAAGAATAGATCCTGTGGACGTTCTAGCTGGTTGCGGAAAAGTTGCAGTGAAAGTACCCCAATTTTCTTTCTCTCGGCTGGCCGGTAAGAATTTAGTCAATTATACGCGAATGTACAAATGTTAATTTATACTCAAGCAACATTATGTTTACATCATTTCTCAATATATAACAAATTGTTTTTAACGTGCATAATTAATTTTTGGATAATTTCTAATTGCTTAAATTCTAATTTGAAAATATGTGTCTTGTTATTCGACGTTTAATTAAAAACCATTGTTACTCGTTATCAAAATTTATCATATAGTTTAAAAAGTGATTGAAATTTGATCGATACCGTCAATGACGTTGATGTAATTAAAGGCGCTGACGTAACTCTGGGTGTCGAGATGGTATCTACAGGCGAAGTAGCGTGCTTCGGCGACAATCGTTACGAGGCTTACCTAAAAGGCATGATAAGCACCGGCTTTCACATTCCTCAGAGAGGTATTTTACTCTCTATAGGAAGTTTCAAGGTAACTCAATTGCTAAAATAAAACAACTCTTTTTATTTCTGTCCTTGCAAGTATCCGAGATATTCCGCAATATTGACAGATTGTACTAATTGCAAATCGGAACTGATATCTTGCAATCATATGATCCTTTTGCAGCATAAAATGGAACTGCTCCCATCTATTAGAAGCCTTAAGAACATGGGTTACAAGCTGTATGCCAGCATGGGTACTGCGGACTTCTACACAGAGCATGGAGTCGAGGTAAGTGAGAAAAATGTTTATTAATTATTGTTCTATGCTGAACATAATATTCAATTATTGCTCATGCGGCTACATGTGTGGAAGAAAATGATTATTTACAAGAATGATTTGAAAAGGAGTCGTGTATGACAATTATCTGTGAATTAATTAAATAAGAATATGTTTTAATAGAAAATTCGTTGTGTTAGATAATTTTAACTAGAACAATTGGTTGCTACTTTTAAATTATCTTGTCAATGACTAATCATTTGGTTTTTTATACAACCACGCGAAGATCGGATATCGACAATTCAGCACGATAAGCATGCTCAGTCTTCTACCTAAATTGATTATCACCCGCCCTTGAAATATAACAATGAATACCGTTTAGATGATCTCATATCTCCAATTTGTTCCTAATATTGTCACGTACGCATCGAGGGAAAGGATTGTTCGTGCCCGACAGATCATCTACGTTTTGCTCTTGATAGACGCGCATGCTATATGTACGTCGTTTCCGTTAAAAACGATTCGTTTTGATTATCTGCTAAGGAAACGACTCTCTGGGTTGTACCAGAAGCCGACTCGTCAGTTTGCTCCCTCGATGTAGGGTTTTTCAAGATGGAAGTAATTTCGTTGCTTTGGTCCTCACTTGATTTCGCAGTGTTCGCAGACTTCACCTGCGTGTTTTCCTTGACTTCCTTAGTTTCTTCTTTAAATCGTACTTCATAGGCGGTCTTGGCTTCAGAAGTGGCCTTGGTTTCGTTGGTGGTTTTCGCGACCTTGTTTTTACGATTCTCGCGACTAGGCTGTGATTGCTTCTCCCTCGATTCCACCGTGACGTTGGCGACGGTGACTTCTTTTAAGAAACGGTCTTTCAAAGTGCCAGCAAATAAAGGTGCCTCGCCGTTTCTCTTAGGTGTCTCCGGAAGTTCGTTTTGCGGCGTTCGTAAACTCGTCGTTCTCATCTTCAGGGCTTTGATCTTGTCACGATAAGCCCTAGCATCATCCGTGTATCTACTTAGCTCCGAGAGGATGATCGAAAGCCGATCTGCTTGATCGAGATAAACCTTTTTCTGCTGATAAGCTCGATACTGTTGACAACGCTCGGCCATTTTTATGAAGTGTCTGACAAAGAAGTCCAACAGAGCGCCTAGTCTTACACCCTCCAGCTCTCCGCAGCGCACCTAGAAAAAAATAAAAGAAAGTGAAGGCACGAGTCAGCCGTGACTCCCGAGCTATTAATCGCGAAGGAAGACAGATAAGATTAGATTTGCGAGAAATCTTCGTGTAAGTCACGAGTTGATCCCGCGGTTTTTCATGGTCAATTACGATAATAGTATGTCGCACTGAATAGCTCGTTAAGAACGTTGATCGATAGGGATCTTATCGCTCGAGGAACTTACCGAGATCTCGATGATGGAGTCCGTCGCCCTACGTGGATTAATCAACGTTTTATTCGTGACCACTCGCGTGTATATCTTCTTTTCGGTCTGCGATTTGGCATTGTCCCAAAAACCGCCCGGCCTATTGTAAATCTCATCCCTGGCCATGTGGAAATCGTCGTGCCCCTTCGACATAAATACAGGCTTCGCCGACAGGCCTAACGCCGGATTCACCAAAGCCAACTTGTCTACTGTCAATATATTCAACAACTTCTCGTACTCCAGCCGCGGAAAGAACTTCTCGCTATGTCTGATGTTTTCCATCGCGTGGAACACGTACATGATCGGGTTCTCGATTATCCTTTTCAGTTGCTTCTGGGTGTGCAGCAGGTGATCGGACGGCATACTCTGGAACACGTTCTTATCGCGGACGAAGTAGTCGGGCATAGTCGGCTCGTTTTGGCTGAGACCACGGTAAAGACTTTTCAATAACTTGATCAGACATTCGCCGATTCGATTGTCGGGCCACTTGGAGGGTCTGTCGTCCTCCTCAATCAACCAAAACATCTTGTTTCTAATGTGAGAGGTCGTCAGACCATACATAGTATCAAAGACAGGTCTTATGAAGGTCTTGTGAAGCATCAGCGCGATTAGATACACCTGAACTTGTGATTGCGTCATGCAGGTCTCTAGATATCGCTCCGCGGCTGGAAACATCAGCTGCCACTCGAGTTCGTGATAGACATTGCTGTCTTTCTGCGGCAGAAATCCTTCGGGTACCACGTAACAGCCAAAGTCCTTCACTTTACTGATATCGTTATAGGTCGGCCACGTACTTCTCGGCCGATCCAACCACTCTTGAGCGTATTCTGGCCACTGCAACCGTATCGCCGGCGTCACTTCATACGACTCGACTCTGCAGAGTCTGGAGTTGTGCGACACCATGATCTTGTCGCAATAGATAACCGAGCCTTCGAGCTTTACGTCGTCTAAGTCCTCTTGGTCGAAATCGAGCGGTTGGCCCAGTTGATCCTTGAAAAGATTGACGAAGTGCCTCATGAATTCCATGCTGCTGATATAAAAGACCTCGTAGTTGCGCCTCCTCATGGCCATCCTGAGGCGACGCTGCTTACTGTTCTGCACTTGCTTCTTCTCTTCTCGCGCATCATAGATCTTGCCCTCTTTGGTGTGTATGACTTTCTTGAAGCACCGTTGTGGTATCTTCGCGTTCAACATCGAGTAGATCTCAGTCGACGCATCTGGGATCGCTTTGTCGCTGTAACTCTGTTGGGAGTTGCACGTGGAGGCTGTGTCCCGATCCACGTCACAGGCGAGCGCCACACTGGATGTCTGCGTTATTTGGCAACTGCTGTCGCTGTCACTGTCAACTGCATAATGCCCGGATCGGTATCCGGAACTCGTGCTGCCCGCTGGACTACGGCTGTTCGTCTTCTTTGATTTTGTCATACCAGGTCGGACGTGTCGCTGATAACTTCCGGATTTTGCCGCCAATTCGCTCTTCGGCCAGGACTTCTTGTTTATTCGGTCCTCCGAAGCCGAGGACACGTGCTCGTAGTCGGACTCAGGCCTAATGTTATGATTGGATCGAGCTTCGTACAAGTTTTCACGCGAATGATACGCCTGGTCCTTATATATGGTCTTGTTGTTATGTATATTAGGCAAAGATCTGGCGTTACAGGTCTCGAGGTTGCTTTTCTTGATCTGCTGAGAAAGAACAATCTTCGAGGTAGGCTTTGGACCGTAAATACTGTCGCCATCGCTGTATATCTCGTCGTCATCCTCCGCTGAGGGTTCGATATCTTCCTTATTCACAGAGTTATTCGGGAACGTCTCGTCGAGGAACTCCAATCGTACGTATCCTGTCGACAGGACACGTATAACTTCAGTTATTTTAAGATATGCATGGTTGTGGCTTCTTTTATCGTTATATAAATTGTTTCAATTTAGAATGGGAATCGTTTTTTTGAGCAAATAACATTTAAAACCTTGTTTCTGAAGTTCTTTTTGAAGAGTTCGATACTAATTCTCAGCGATAAATTTTGTTAGGTCTCTAGTATCATTTAATGTACATTGCATTAAAAGAAAAGATGGAATTTAATAATTTTATCAGGAAATGGTTTAAATTATTTTAAACTATTTCTTATATTTTACTCTCAATTATACGTAATGACAGAGAATTTGGGAGACGCTTGGCGTAATTCACTCACCTTGATGTTCACTCGGTTTCACCAACGTGTTATACGTAATCTCATTGGTCACACTGATATATTCCGCCATGTAAGGGTGCTCTGTGATTTCGATATTGTCGTGTACGACGTAAATACGAATGGGGTGTAGTGGTTCGATGGTTGGACGAGAAGTCTGTCGCGACGAGGTGAAGGCAACATTATGCGAGACATGTTCCTGGAGAACATCCGGCATCAAAACGTGCTTTTGGGTTGGTAGTTTGTCATTTAGCTTCGCTTCGGAAGACGAAGCCAGAGTCTCTTTGACACGGATAATATTTCTGAAAAGAAATTTGATTGTTAGATTCACGTAATTCAATTAATTTGCCTTTACTAGTCTTGTCAATTATTTTTAATATCACAATTCACATACGATAGGACGTAACAACAAAAGTAAAATCAAATATTCAACAAATTGTCAAGTGACTTTTGATACTACACAATATGATAAAAATGGTATGCGTAAACGGGCAACCCAATGAACAATCCACTCAGTTCAATTATCAAAACGTATAGTTATTATGTAATAGATGAGATTTTTTATTGTGCGCTCAATTGTCGAGCGCAATCTAGACAGGTAACTAATTATAACTTAAAAAAGCAAGAACAACTGGAACAATTCAAACGTGTTTCCTCTTGGCAGAATTATTATCTCGTCGAAAAAAATGTTTTTTGTACGCGATACAGATTTTTAGATTAGATTAAGTCAAATCAAGTGGATATCAATCTTAATGAATCAATAAGTCTTATATGTCCGAGTAATCCTTTCACACCTTCTCACATACACATTATTTTAGGCATGGTCATTTTCGACAAATAAAAATCAATTCCACTGTAAGATTTGGTTTGATTTTCTAAGAGTATAACAAATTAGATATTTATGTATATACTTATTCATTCGCACATTAAGTCTCACTATTTCACGCAATTGCTTCATTATTAACTCCGTTAATATCTCAATAACATCCAACTATGTTATTCCGTCCCAAGGTTTTATTTTTACACTCTGTCGATCGACACTGCGCCACGAACGATTGCCTGGCAATTACACTGTGTAAAACACTGACAGGAACGAGTGCTTACTCCTCATAATTTTGAAAGAACTGGACACACATCATGAGATTATTTAGGATAAAACTCTCCGGGTTTCTCTTGATAGATTTCCTTATCAACATTAGTTCCACGTCCTCATAATCCTCATTGTTCTGGCTGCTGGGCGTATCAGATGGATTAAATCCGCCCTTCTTCCCTTTTCCCCGAGCACCGCCTTTGACTTTCGAACTCCTGATGCCCATTCTCTCGTTGGGAGGTCGCTATCGAATCGCATAACAAGATGGACACGTGATACGATCACGCGAAAAGCGCGTCCTCGAGACTGCGATCCACCCTGTAGGTCACTTCAGGTTTTCCTTCTTCACTCTGGTGATCTTGTAAGGTCGTTGATAGCGGAGAACGGCATCGTACGCGTGAAGACACGATGGTAAACGACGAGACAGTAGTCCTCTCGCGGGGTGTCGCTGTCGATAAATAGCTATCTCGTTATCAAGCAGGACGCTTTTAATCGGCCACTTACTATTGGCTATCTGCAAATATACCTGATATAAAATATTTCGTGCATGATCACACTCTGACACCGGTACGATAAAATTGTAGTATTTCGCTGAGTTCGCCAATTGTCAGCAACTTCCTATCATGATGAGCTCAACAATCCGTGATTTTAGGGATAGTGTCGACGTTGATCGAAGCGGTACTTCTCAGATAGACATATTTGGATCGAAGCGATACTTCTCAGATAGATATAACACAGTTTTGGCATATTGTCTGAACAGTGACCGAATTGAGAATTAAAAATTGTACCACAAGTATACAAAAATAACATGCAAACATTTAAGATATACCTGTGTGATACAACTGTGAACAGCACAATATATTTAAAATATATTGTTTTAAGAAATACGCTATTTCATTACGCCATATTTTGAATCAAAACGTTGACTTCTAATCAATAACTTATACAACAAGAACTTTTTTTAGTATATAAAAGAAGTCATATCATGAAAATTGCGCTAATATTGCCGATTGTATGCCGGCAAGAGAACGCAATTAATCCAAAGTTATTGATTAGAAGTCAACGTTTTGATTCAAAATATGGCGTAATCCACACAGCAGGACCGTCCCAAATATATCATAAGGATATCTTGAAGATATCGCATATCCCAAATATATCTTTAGGATATCCCTGTAATATATTTTGGATACCTCTGCTGTGTGGGAATAAAATAGCGTATTTCTTAAAACAATATATTTTAAATATATTGTGTTGTTTATAGTTGTATCACACAGGTATACCTTAAATGTTTGCATATTATTTTTAGCATCTCTGTCTATCTAGGTTGTATCGCTTTTATTAAATCAGTAGTATTATCGATTTTCGCGTGTATATTTTTCACTTTTCCTCGTCGTATCATTATTTATTTAATCTAATAATCGCATCTATTAATTCTTAGCCAAATAAAAGATTCTATCAGCAATGTCGTTTTTTATCTTTGAATAAGAGATATCATCGGCACGTAAATTCCATACACAAGTACGAAACTGAAAATTCTTAATGGACAATTGACTTTACAAGTTTGATCGGAAATGTACGAGATGTAAAATACAGAATTTATTTATTTATTTTAAACACAAAATTTAACACAAAGCTTAACAAACTCCAACTTTACCCAGACAACACAACGCCTAAAATCGGGACATAAGACATCTTAAAGATTATCTTTAAGACGTCTTATATCCCAATTTTAGATATTATGTTGTCTTGGTACGTAAGCAGCAATAGCAATCGCTGGAAAAGACGAAGTTATTGATATCACAAGGAAATTGCAATAACGTGGTAATCTATTTTGTGTAATCTTAACTCTTTCCGTGGAAACTTAATTGGTTTTCTTGGTATTATCTAATATACAGTATAAACACGCTCGACAGATTATAGTAAATATTTCTGCAATGGCCTCTTGTTAAATAAGAAATAATCATCATTAACATCATTATTATTGAAACGATCATCATGGATTTATCGCACGTAGACACATACTCTCGTGACACAATGCGATTTCATATGGTGTGATGACAATACGCATGGTCAAAGGTTTAATTCTCTCGACGACTGACGTCAGGTATAGCAATAACGTGAGTGAAATTGCGACTGTTATCTAATCTGCGAGTGAACTCCCTATCGGCAGCATAGAAATTACAAGTTAATCCCGGAACAATGCAATGAGCTCTCAAAAAATAAATATTTTTCGAGAGATATCTGGAATCACCTTTAAGACCGGAAGTATCTTTTCATTTAATGGATAAAAAGAATTTTATAGAAACTGTGGAGAGATTTTTGCAAAGAATTTCGCAGATAATGATACATCGCTTGCGACCCATGATATATATCAATCGATATCTATTTGGACTATCGCGACATGTATAAGCATGTCAAGTCGCATGATGTCAAATGATTAAATATATAATCAGAATTTTAAGGACAATAATCAAGAAGTTCATCCATAGAATGCTAGGTGTTTATTTTAGGAAATTATTTGATATAGCATAAACCGTGGAGAGATTTTTGCAAAGAATTTCGCAGATAACAAATGATACATCGTCTGCGACCCATGACAGATATCAATCGATATTTATTTGGACTGTCGCGACGTGTATAAGCATGTCAAGTCGCACGATGTCAAGCGGTATATCAAGCGAAAAAAAGAAAGTGCAGAGATTCTTAAGAAGATAACTGAATACGTTGAATCGTATAAGACATTCCACATGTGACAAGAACAAGCCAATCATAACAATTATCAAGGAGATAACGTCCATCTTCAGGACGTTAGGAGTTTATTTGAAGGAATTTCTCGACACAATATACGAACAAAATAACGTACGATTTTTAAAAAGATAACTGAATACGTTGAGACACAGAAGACATTCCGTATGACAAGAACAAATCAGCCATTCATCACAGACATTATATGATATATATCTCACATCTGTCTAATTGTAATTTTCTAACAAAAATCTTGAAAACAAAATTGATTTCTGTAACGCAGGTAGAACCAGTGCTGTGGACGTTCGAGAATATCGGTATGCACGAGGATTCCAGTCCGAGCGAACTTCGGCATCTCGCCGATTTTCTGTCGAAGAAGCAATTCGATCTCGTGATCAATCTGCCGATGAGGAACGGCGGTGCCCGTCGTGTTTCCAATTTCATGACTCACGGTTACAGGACAAGAAGACTCGCGGTCGATTACTCCGTGCCTTTGGTCACAGATGTCAAATGCGCGAAACTACTGGTCGAGGTAAGCATCCAAATCTGATTCTCGCAAAAATAGGCGCAGCGTTCCACACAAGGGTGTAGAATAAATTCTTCGGCTATGAAATATATTTTAAGAACTAATTTCATTGAATATTTGACTTGATTTACCTTCAAGTTTTATAAATTACATTTCACATTATATCTGCACGTCAGGGATCAAAGATCGTCCCGATAAAGCAAATCGCATTACTCACTCTTACACACAAGTTCTCGTTCTCATTGCTGATAAAGTGCACTAACTGTAAAGTTTATTTAAAAGCTATATTACTTAAAATTATATTGTGACTTCGTTTCTTTTGCGTGGCAGAAATGAACATTTAACATTTAACAAATAGAAGTGTCTTAAATATGCGTTCTTGCAAAATTTATTTGACATCTTCATAACATTCCAGACATCGGTTTCTTTCTTATTTTTGCAAGAACGCTATCTTTCCGTTATCTAACGCTAATATATCTGATTATTCGCATTTAATAAGAATCAAGAGCTAGAAATAACTTGTTATAAAGTGTAGAATCAAAATAATTATCTTGAGATTGTGATGATTCTTTTAATCTTCACTTTCTTTATATGAAATAGAACTTTGATCTATAAAGCGATATAAGTTTTCGATATCGTGTTATTTATTTTAAAGTGTAGATAAAATAGAAAGATTAATGAATAAACATTCTTAATTATTTTATTTGCTAAGATATCAGGAATACTTCAATGTAGAGAATTGCTGTCTCTCTAGAAGTTTCTTCTATACAGGGTGTCCCACAACTGATAGAACACCAGTTAGAGGTAGATAGAGGATACAATTTGGAACTGAAATTTGTTCTTCCATTTTTGAATCCGACAATTAGTTAACAAGATATTAATTAATTAAGTCTGCCAATCCCTTAGCGCCCTGAGTGAGCGCTCAAGGACGTAGGACGCCGTGAGCTCCTGCTTGTCCGTTTTTCTCCCCTTTTTGTACATATATACTAAAATTATTCACGATACTCAACCACTGACATGCAGAAAACATTCAAGTCACCTCGAAAAAAACATACCACACATGTCTTTCTCCTCCGGCACATAAAGTGCAATCACTCCGCCCATTCGCACTAAAAAGATTCAAATTATTCGTGCACTCATAATCGCACACAAAAACACCCATACATATCACTCCTACACATTGAAATCTTGCCATCCCCTAGCCCCGATCAAGCACCCATCCACACACCTACTCACTCACTTATGCATATCTATTCCTCTATGATATAAAAAAGGGGAAAAAACGGACAAGCAGGGCCCCTGAGGAATCCACGGTGCCCTACGGCCCTGAGCGTTCACACGGGGCGCTAAGGGATTGGCAGACTTACTTAATTAATATCTCATTAATTAATTGTCGGATCCAAAAATAGAAGAGGAACTTTCAGTTTCAAATTTTATCCCTTACCTACCCTTAACGGGTGTGTTTTATTAGTTGTGGGACACCCTGTATATGAAAAGTACTATGACAATTGTAATAATAAATTCGAATGAATCAGAATATAAGTTCAGGAATGGATCGAGGTTCATTGGTACTTTAAATAGCAATCTTTGGCAGAACGAAAAATTTCGAACAGACTTTGAAGATCTCACCGTCATACATTAAACTCCATCCATATCACATCGAATTTTTTTTATTTCAACAAACAAGAGCGTGTCTCAATTCATATACTGATTCAAACAAAGGCATTTCTCTTTTTTACTCGACACTTTTCTCTTAAATGGCTCTCCCCATCTCTTCACCGCAGTAATCGTATTTCGCGCTAAACGCTTTCAATTAAGCTGAAGCCACACGCGCACAATGCATCTCGTCGAACCTCGTCAATAAGATTGCATAATCGCGCGAGCGATAAACATTCGTGCATATCAACGACTCGCAACTCTATGCGCTCCTCGGTTTTGTGTCATACAGGCGATGAGAATGGTTGGCGGAAAAGCCCCGCGCATGAAAACTCACACTGACTGCATAACGTCGCGCAGGATGATTAAGTTACCTGGTTTTATCGACGTACACGTGCACACCCGTGAACCAGGTGCTGTTCACAAGGAGGACTACGCCTCTTGCACCGCGGCTGCTCTCGCCGGCGGTATCACGACCATTTTCGCGATGCCAAACACTAATCCGGCAGTGGTAGACCATCAGACTTTCGCTCTAGCTAAAGAAGTAAGTCATTTTGAGATGTAAGAATTTGCGTTCGCGGTACATGAAAAATTATATTGACAAGATATTCTGTTAACATGTCAATCTTCGTAATTAATTTTGTGTGCTTAATTAGTCGCGACGATACATACTTATTTAGTTTATCTTTCAACCTCGATATTATTTATTCACAAAAGCAGAACAGTAACTATGACACGTTTCTATGGAAGTTTTAATGCAAAGGATATTCTCTTGATTTCTTTCACGCGAAAGTTCTTAGAGTTGGTGAAATAAGTCAGGTCGAACAGATGTAAAGCCATCTTCTATTATGTTGCAGAGAGCCGCAGCTGGTGCACGATGCGATTATGCACTATTCGTCGGTGCATCATTGGACAACTACGATATTATACCAGAAATAGCGCCGCATGCAGCCGCCCTGAAGATGTACCTAAACGAGACATTCACCACCCTTCGTCTCACCGACCTTACGGTTTGGATTAAGGTAAATGAAACGCTCGTGTAAAAGTAAATATGCGCATTCGTATTTTGTGAGATATTGAATATTGTATGAAATTTATATGTACAATCGTGTCATTTGTCTGCAGCATTTCGAAAGCTGGCCCAGGAAATATCCAGTGTGTGTGCACGCCGAGGGACAAACAACAGCTGCAGTTCTTCTGCTCGCGAGTTTACACAACAGACCAATCCACGTGTGTCACGTTGCGCGCAAAGAAGAGGTAGAAATTATACGCGCCGCCAAGGAGCATGTGAGTAAATCATCGAGATATTTAACAGAATACAGCTTTACTTAAGTGTCAAAATTCTCATAATTCTCAAAAATTTAATTAATAAGTACTTAAAATTACCCGTGTATATAATTGACAAATTATTGTGCATTGTTGCAGGGATTGGCAGTCACGTGCGAGGTATGTCCGCATCATTTGTTCCTCTGTGAAGATGACTTGGAACGAATAGGTAGGGAAAGAGGCCAGGTGAGGCCCACTCTAGGAACGAAGAAGGACCAACAGGCTCTCTGGGACAATTTGGACATTATTGATTGTTTCGCTACCGATCATGGTACGTAAAGAATTCCAACCCTACAATATATCAATAATCCCAGCGCGAAGGTTCCTGCTCACAGATTCGCGTTTCGTTAGAGTTATAAAATAAAATCAACACATCGATCGCTCGTTTCGAGACGATAACGACCAACGTTGTTTTGTGAATCGGCGATAAAGGGATAAACGTCCCATGTCGAACATATACACGTATGACATCTATCTAACTCTGCTTTTAAATCGTAAAGGAACATTATTTCTTCGCTCCAAAATATTGATATTATATCAGACACATGGAGTAATTTAGAAATAATGAGCAATTACTGTTACTGCTGATAAAAAATGAATACTCCGATAATTCGCCGTATCGAGCGTGTTCAATCGCAAAGTTAATAAGTTCTGATGGAAAATCGACGCGATCGCATATATTATTATATAATTTGTGAGTCCCAATGGGACATTGATTTATTCATTACAACAGGTCTGTTTGAACTTCTAAACCAGTGTAATAAGCGAAAATGAAACGTATACATTCTTACAGTCTAACTCACTGCACTAGCGTGCATTTAGATGTTCTTCATCTAAATAAAGAATAGATCTAATGCCGTGACTCTTCGTATTGCAGCTCCACACACCGTGCAAGAAAAATCCTCTGAGAAGCCACCTCCAGGATTCCCCGGGCTGGAAACCATCCTACCGTTGTTACTCAATGCTGTGCACGAAGGAAGATTGACCATGGAGGTATTTTGCTTTTTTCGCTTATTGTTAGTATATCGTTTCAACCACGTTCACCTGGTGTAACGAGCAAGGAATGTCGATAAGCTCTTTATAGCTCGATAACGAATGGCGAGTGCTGTATACGTCATTCTGATATAGAGATAAATTTCGCACTTGACTTGACATAATAAACCGAAACGTGTCTGTATGAAGCGAGGCAATTTTTCGCCCAGCGAAGTTTCCTCATGAAAATTAACTCACCTTATGTGTTGTTATTTTGATCCTGAAATAAGTTACGTTCTGATCTCGCGTGTTAATTCGAAAACAGAAGTAGCCTATCGCAGATCCATGTCGTTCTTTCACCGAATTTTGAAATAAATTCTTGGACGTTCAATTTTAAACGCAATCTTGTGTTTTTACGCTTATCACACTTCCTATATTATATATAGGATATATGTATGAACGTTATTGTCTGATAGCAGTACGATATGAGATAAGCGTGTAAATACGCTTACTGCATTTGCAATAAAAATAGCGCAGAAATGACATTAAAATTTTTCTTGCTAAGATTTTTTTAACTGGACTGACATATGCCGAGCGTTATTATTGTAGTAATTTCATAGTGCGCTTTCCTTATCATATAATATCTTATTTGCGTGAATAAATCGATACGATTAAGAGGAATGATATTGTAGAAAACATATAAAATAGAGAGAATATAAAAATGTTTAAATTACAGAATAATTAATATAATTTGTAAGTCCGGATTGCGTAAATTAAAGTAGTGCGAAGTTTAGAAAAATTAATTTAGCATCGAAGAAGAAGAGATATTTAACATTATGTAATATAAAAAAAACATTATCTAAATACTATCAAAACACTAATGTGTTCACTTAATGATTGTAGAACATTATCGACAAGTTATACCGAAATCCCAAAAAGATCTTCAACATCCCCGACCAACGTCACACTTACATCGAGGTCGATTTAGACGACGAATGGGTTATCCCAGAAGCAATGCCGTTCAGCAAATCGGGATGGACGCCCTTTGCTGGTATGAAGATTCGCGGTTCTGTGCATAGAGTAGTCTTAAGAGGCGAGGTTGCTTACGTGGAGGGACAAGTCCTGGTAAATCCCGGATTCGGTCAAGACATCAGGGATGTTCAACATAAGATGAAAGCTCCACCAACGATCCACGTGCCGATAGCAGACGCTATCAGCAAACCGCTGTCACTGCTGGATGGTCTCTTGTCACCAAATAATGAGAAACACAACGCACGCGCCGATCGTATTGCTGATTTATCCGAAGAGGAACTAAATGGTACGATAATATAATATAAGGGGCGAGTATCTTATCATTACGAGATCAAGATCAAATTAATTCGTAATTCAAAGACATTACAGATAAATTATACAATATAAAGCAACAGAACTGTTTGTATTTTCTATTTTCAGAATCGTTTGCATCTCTTCTACAACCATTGACGCACAAATCAAACGTATGCTTTGCGCTGGATGTCGACACGAAAGAACATTCTAAAACACTACCTTTTCAAAGGACCATTTCTCCATTACCAATTAGTAATGCCACCAAATACAAAAGCGACAGTAATCCGAATCTTCTTATGACCACCGTCACGCCGGCTCCTGCCGTTCACACAAGCCTGGTTGGACATCATGTACTCACCGTGAACATCTTTAATAAGGAAATATTGAAAGATATATTCTTCCTTGCCGAACTCTTCCGTAATGCCATCAGAAAAGAGCGACCTTTGGATCACATACTAAAGGTAATAAATTTACACTTATATAAAATTATATATACGTGTTATACCAAATTGAGGGATTACACATAACAACTACAGAACATTACTTTTATATTTATATAATATATACAAATGTTATGACACAAATTTATATAATACTTTCACCTTTGGAAGATTTATGCTGAAACTATAAAATATACACGGAGAAAAATAATTTGCTGCCCAGCAAATTTTCTGCTAGTCTAGTAAAATCTTTTCGTTATTATATGGAGAACAAAAAGATTTGCTAATAGTACTAATCACTATTTGCTGGATATCATTTGCTGAATCTACAAATTATTTTGCTGTAAGAACCATGATGTATTTATATAAGCAGTTGCAGTTTTGCTCCAATAGCAAATAAATTTGCTAAGGATACATTATTTTGCATTGATAGCAAATTAACGTGATTCTTAAGACAAATATACTCAATAAATTTTTTATATCCGAAACTACTTCTGCTCTGATAACGAGTAATTTGTAAAATTAGTTACGTCAACTAAATTTTTTTGTTGTCACTACGAATATGCAGTAGCAACGACGATTTTGCTAAAAGAGCAAAATTATTTTTCTCCGTGTATAATGACATAGTGGTTCTCAAATAATAAGTGAAGCAAAATTTCTTGTTTTCCTCGTTAATCAAATTAAATGACATTTGTGTTCAGGGAAAAATTATGGCTTCCATCTTCTATGAAGTCAGCACAAGAACATCGTGCAGTTTCGCTGCCGCGATGCAACGTCTTGGAGGTCGCGTGATACACATGGACGGTTCTACATCATCAGTTCAAAAAGGAGAAACGTTAGAAGGTATGTTTTGAGACAAAATCATGCAGGAAAAGAATATGTGAATGTTACAATATGAATGTTACAATGTTGATGAAGAATCATAGACGGTAAAGACTTGATTGATGAATAAATCGTTTTCAATCAAATAAAATCAGATTTGATTCCAAAATTGATTCGAAATTCTTGACTCTCTGGCTCGATGTATAATTAATTATCTTTCTGTCTACGACATATATTTAATCAGTTATCATGTTGTTGCAGATTCCGTAGCAATTATGGCAGGATACGCGGATGTGGTAGTACTTAGGCACCCACAGCCAAACGCAGTAGCGGTGAGCATTCGTATCATAAAAATACCCAAGCTATCTTATATACATTGTGATTGTATAAACAATCAAACGTATTTTTTTCAGTTCTAATTATGACATTATTATTGTAATACCTCAATTTCAAGTACCATAACAGCAGTTATTCTTTATTCTTATTGTTCCTGAGTTTGTTTCTCGAAACGATTGTAATTTTAAGATGTAAAATAAACTTGTATAAATACGCGGTTGTATATTTTGTTTTGACCGTTACATATCAATGATAACTTGCAGAGAGCCGCGCAGCATTGTAGAAAACCATTATTGAATGCCGGTGACGGAGTTGGCGAACACCCCACGCAAGCATTGCTCGATATTTTTACGATACGAGATGAATTTGGGACCGTAAACGGCCTCACAATCACGATGGTAGGAGACTTGAAAAATGGCAGAACAGTTCATTCCCTCGCAAGGTTGGTACAATAGAACAATCGTTTGATACATGATTCCAAATTCAATTTCGGTCGCTACAAGCGAACGAGCTTATCCTTCGTATTCAAGGTCAATTATTGGAGTCAAGGTATTCTCCTTCGACGCACATTATTTATTAAACGTTGCTAATGCAGGTTACTGACCTTATACAACGTGGAACTTCGTTATGTGTGCCCACCTGGCCTCGAAATGCCAGATCAAGTCACTAATTACGTGGCCAAGCGCGGAATCCTACAAGAAAAGTTTGCCACTCTGGAAGAGGCACTGCCTGAGACTGACGTCCTTTACATGACTCGAATACAACGCGAGCGTTTCGCTACACAGGAGGAATATAATCAGGTAAGTGCTTCTCAAGTAGCAGGAGCTTGTAAACGACTTATCTAAAAAACGCTTAAGACGTTTGAAGAAATAAGAAACTTTTAAACGTTTTTAAGATCTCTTTAAGAAACTTTTTTAAAAGTTTCTGCTTTACCTGAATCGAGATGTTACAACAAATTCGATACATTGTGTGTTATATATCGAATTTGAAAATGAAGATTCAACTTTAAAGTTACTTTAAATTACGCATCCATTCATTACAAAATGTCCAACGTAAATGCAATATTAAACTTGATAGTTAATGTACAATGACAAAACTGAAGGAAAAATGTTTTTACGTTGTTAGTCTTTTTTAATTTGCATTAGTTGAAACCGGAAAATCACAAGGATTATTACAGTGCAAATCTTACACTGACATCGAAGCAAACTTAAACGACATGCGAAAATACATACAGAAATTAAAGCTATTCTTTTGCCGGAATTTTGTTTAATCATGTTTTTCATTTAGCATTTTAATGCATTTAAAAAAATCCAAAATATCAAGCTTGTAAAGAAATGTTAAAAATTATTACGAATAATGTAAAAACTTATTGAAAATTCTTTAATTTCAGAATTGATATTACTTAAAGATAATCAGCAAAATATCATTTATTTCAAATTACATACCTCACGCTTCAACATCTGCTTTCAAGACAATTAGGTTAAAAAATAACTTAAAAAATAAATTGAAAGATACAACGTCTCTACAAAACTTTTACTGTGCAACAGGTGTGCGGACACTTCATAGTCACCCCGCAATTGATGTCGCGCGCAAAGAGGAAGATGACGGTGATGCATCCCTTGCCACGCGTCTTCGAAATAAGCACCGAGTTCGATACCGATCCGCGAGCAGCTTACTTTCGACAAGCCGAAAACGGGGTCTACGTACGCATGGCATTACTGGCTATGGTCCTTGGACGCACTTGATCTACGGTCACTCGTCGCTTGTAGGTCATGGCACTTCCGCCAGCCTGGTGAACAAGGTCAATAACGCTCGCCACCGTAGACACGCTCGCACTTTCAATCAGACTGTGATACGTTCGTGAGAACGTCGCCAAGTTACAAATCTTTCTGACATTCCTATTATTAGCTGTCAAGAGCTTAGCAATCATTTTCTAACGAAACTTACAGTAAACTTTGACAACAGGGATTTTTACAATGCATTTTTGATAATACATTAAAATACTTCCAATGCTTTTAATATGTTGATATATTTTGTCTCGAAGCAATTCTTGTTTCTGCTACATATATTTCTAAGAACTATATTCTATAGTTATAGAACTTTATTATATAGTTCTTAGGAAATTTACAAGCGCACGCGAGCCTAAAAATAATTTTTAGAAAACGTTTTAAACGATACCATGCATAAAAAAATTGTAAGTGAAATTTCAAAAGAAATTAAACGACAAAAATTTATAACCGAAGTACAAATATTTTAAGAATTTTGATATTCTAAATTCTGTACTACGTACAGAAACATTAAACAGATTTTATTATTTTTGATACATAATGTTCAATACAACAAATGCATACATATATCAGAAATACAAGATTAAAGACATATATTTGTACAATACAAATACAAAACAAAAATATAACGCACATTATGTCCTTTTTTTCTTTTCTCCCTTCTCTTCTTTATACTGTGAATGGAATACGTGAATGACGAACTCCTACGGAAAAGGACTCATATCTAAATATAATAATAATATCGATAACATTATCATCTGTTAACAATATTATCGATTTTATTTATCCACCTATCCGTTTATCTATTTATTCGTTTGTGTATTTGTTCGTTCGTCTATCTATCTAGAGAATTTAAAAGATATTAAATATCTAGCAGAACTGTCAAAGCTATTAATACTCGTTGTTGTCTTATCGTTCTTTTGTATTTAGTAGTTAAATGTACTAACTACGAACATGGATTCTATTTTTAGTGACATATATTGGTTTTACGTACGTTTCTTAACTTATGCAATTTTTACATACGTATGCAACGTTTCATGACCGTTTGTTAAGTATTTCGCGAACGTTTCTAAACAATACGTGCTACTCGGGATAGTTACATTCAATGAATGTATCTGATATCTCGTAGATCATAATGACTTTTGATACAGACGCAGACTTGATGACTTTCAACGTCTCTGTCTTCTCTCTGTTCTGAGAGACGCAGTGAGATGCAAACTGAGTTGCTGCTTTCCATAGACAAAAACTGACGATAAAATTTGTGAATGATATTCAAAACAAAAACATAAAACTTATACATACATCATTATAATTATGTACCTAAAACATTTTACGAACCAAAGTATAGTGGAATTTCATTATATTAAAATATCTCAATATAGTCTCATTATATTAAGTGTATCTCAATATAGTCTCACTGTGTATAATCTGAAAACTGTGTATATTCACGTGATGACACGCGTTCGATGTATTCATGATAGCCGCATAATCCTGGAAAATTAGTTTCGTAAAATTAAAAGTATGATCATAGCCATTTAACTCTTTGTTACAAAAAATATATATATTACCTTAAATGGGCGTTAAATACACTTGACACTTACCGTATTCCAAGCGATTATATTTTGATATTAAGATTGGTAACTAGATCTTTTATTATCAAGAAAAGGGTAAGTAAAGAAAATAAAATAATATACAACGATGCAGCACAATAAAACAAGGATAACAAAATGAGGTGGGAAAATTATTCAAATATAAGATTTCTCATTTAATTTAAAATCACACACACATACTACATTTATATGTATATTTATAATATATTTATATACAAAATATTTATATACAAGTGCATACCACTCAGTCACACAATATTTTTAATAAATATCAGGCGTGGCTCTTTGCAAAATGCGACTGAGAAGCAGTTCAAGCAACCGCATTTTCGATTTAATCCTTTCGCTACGCCAGTGTCCAGTCGAAAGACACACACGCTGTAACACAGACGCACGTAACGTCAGTAGCCTCTATGCGTACGTATGATAGAATTTTTATTACACTCGCATCATATATGCCTTAACACACATTTTTCTTATTATTATTAAAGAACAATATTTATCCAGTGCTGTGGAACAACTCTCTTCTAGCGTAGGCCAATATAGATATAATTTTACTGAACAAGATAAATACAAATTTATTGCAGTTTCCTACGGCTTTCAATCTTTATATGTAATTTGTAAGGTTGGAAATCGTACAGGTGATCCTAGTTGCATTGTTAATGCATACATGACGCCAGCCAGTGTTGCGTTTAAATAATTTTTAAATCATCTCATGGAGATGGTTTTCGATCTCATAGATTTTAAAACTATCTAAGTGCAACACTGCGCCTAGCTTATATCAAAGGTCGTTGCTACGCATCATCACAACGTTGTCAGTTACGTGAAATTTTGACGGAGCGATTATAATCACTGGTATTTAGTGAACGATCAGCTGTGAATGATTACAGTCACCTTTAATGGCAAAATCAATGCCACTTTTGAAAATGTCTCACTGCTTTTTCTTGTAATACTTTTATATACTAATATATACTTCATTAATTATCAGCTGTACGCGAACACTGTCACGATAAAATTCATTTTTTTCAAGCCTTTCGTGAAGTACTTGTGAAATGCGAGTTGAAATCTCTCGGAACATCAAACAGTATCACATATCGTTTTAAATCCGGTATCACTGGCACCATTTGGACACATATCCGAGGCCAAGGCTTTCGAGTCGTCTTTTCTGCTCTTTCCTCTTGCCTGTCCTGGTAGTGACATTCCCCACTTCAGTTTCCTTTGCTTCCTCCTCGTGGCACGGGGAACGAGGTACTCTTGCTGCCTGAGGCAAACGACGTGACGATAACACGAATTCTCAACGCTAATATCGACGCTAATCGTCAGGTTAGACTTTGTCCCAAACGACACAGAGCATCCATTTCATTACATTTATGTTAAAATTTCGCAACAATATAAATATAACACTATGTGTCACTTGGTATTTACATTGTTGAATACAAAATTTTAACATGTAATGAAACTAATGCTATGTGTCGGCTAGGATGTAACTAATTTCTTTAACTGAACATTCCTGTGGCATAGCTTCGTTATCAATCTATTTATTTTAACATAAAAAAATCTTAAACTATACTTTAACGCGTTTGTCCGTGAAGACCGTTCGGCGACAAGACGCAAGTGTTTGCACAAGCAACGAAAGCAAATAAATGTTGTTGTGTGTTTACTTACTGGTATAAGCGGTCTATTTGGATAGCTATCCAAAACAAGATCACTATAATGATGATCACGCTAATCACGCCGGATACCAGTGGCACTAACTCATTCGATTCTTCGTCACGGCGGGACACCTCCACTGTGGATGTATTGTATGCTAAAATCGTAAAAAAAATTCACTGTGCGATAAGATAACGTTTGTTTGGCACAACTAGCTATCGTATTGTTTTATCCTAAATTGTATTTACTGTCATCTCTTAACCTTCTCACTCCAAAATATCTACAGCAATGTTTAAACATGAAAATTACTTTTAAGACTATTAAGGCCGTAAGAATAAAAATCCAAGTACCTTTCTCAATTTTTTTGAAAGATGGTTCATTATTACCAAAAATTTGTTATTATTGCACGGAAATTATTAATCTATATATACATATATATCGTTTTTTTATTTTATATATATTTTAAAAATGTATTTTTTATTTTATATATATTTTAAATATATATTTTAAAATTATATATATATATTACCGCCTTGTATGCGCAGCGAGTAACTAATATTGGTGATAATGTATCTAGAGATGACTTTCCCACTTGATTATAAAGCAAAAACACGCATTCTTTCTCTTCTTTTCC